CCTGTGTCATATAGGTGTATATCTGGTCAGTGAGAAGGGGACAGTCACTGGGGAAGAATGGGATGGGTAGCTGTTCTAGAACTTTTTAGTAATGCCTCGAATACACCGATAGCCGAAGAAACGCCTAGAATGTTCGAGGTCCTAACCTAAATGGTCATTATCATTATCACCATCCAAGGCGTGCCGAGTGCGGATATGTGGGTGTTAACGACTGCAAATGCAGAAGCGACCGCCGGATTAACGATTTCGTACCTTCCGAAGCACGAAGGAGCTCGAGATAATACATTTTTGGTAACCCATCCAATGATCAAAGCCATCCATCCAATGATCTATCGAAAGTTGCTTAATAACCGTATCGCAGACCAAACGCTCCAACCACTGCGCCATCGAGCTCTCTTTAAAGCTTTTAGTATTTTATTATAAAAATCATGAGTGAATTTGTCAATTCATGACACTTCTAGAATGAAAATAGTATTATAAGGAAGTCGGTGCCTTGATAAAGAGGCAATCACATTAAGGCCATAGCTCTATAGAACGCTCTTTGTTCACGCTGTGTACACCGCTTTACAATACGGTACTGTGAACTGTTGGTACTATTGTTGCTAGGTTATATTGTGGATTTTCTTTCATAAAATTAAATAGTATGCGAGCTTTGTTTGTGTGGTAAATCTGTATGGATATGATAAAATAAAATGTCGTGTCCAATTTATACAAATAAATAAAATTGGAGTGTCTGTTTGTTACATTAAATTAATTGCATATGTATGTAATGTAAACACGGTATATATACCAAAATATTTTTTTTTTTTTTACATTTTTTGGCTGTTTGTCTGTTTATTCCGGTCTGTTTATCTCTGAAATACAGACAGGAGGTAAGAGAAGTGAATTTTTTTCTCCATTTTCGGTGTATGTCTAGTAATTTTTGGTTCTTATTTCGAACTCTGCTTATTATTTTGGTGTTTTAAATCATTATCATTATCACCAGAATATTAATGTCCCCACTGGTGGGGTTCTGGCCTTCTCTATGAATGAATCGAATCAAAACGAGCAGGGAGAATGGGCCATGATTGTACCCTGGCCTCGTGCGTATTGGTGGGTATTAACGACAGCAGATGCTGCCGGGACTAACTGCTTGACGTACATTACGAAGCACGAAGGAAATCGGGATACTACATTTTAGGTCACTCATCCTATGACCGACCCTTGCGAACTAACTAACCACTTTTTTAAATACAATCCCCTTTTTATGTATATTGTTTCTTTTCAACTGATTCGAAAACCTTTAGGGGTTAATATTGGACTCGACTGGGGTCGAATCTCTATCTATCTTTGCATTTCCGTGATTTGGGAATACCCACAATATAAGACCTACGGACCGAAACTAGTAAAATGTTGAAAGTGGTCTACGGGAAAATGTTTGGGAACCTCTGTTTAGGTAAAGTTAGACTAAAATTACATAAGTTTGTTCCCGTTTTCAAAACGCATTGAGTTCAGACTGTGGGGAACCCACTATACATACATACAACATTCCATATTTATTTATTTATATATATTCACCACTACCATAAACATTCACATAGATTATTGAAACACTCTGGCAATTACAAAAAGAATAACAATAAAAAGAATATATATATATATTATATTGATTTATACTCTCTGATCAAATCATTTTTTCGGAATTTGTTTCAGTATTAATATCTTTAAGACGTTGATTATATTTAGTCATTTTGAGATTGTTTATATTCAGACTAAAGAAATTGTGCAAAGTTATTTGGAAGTTTCAATTTTCGTCATCGCTACTGCCATAAGACTATAATGTGAAGTATATAGTCTGATCTCAATCAGTGTTACTATAAAGGTTTAACATTGGAGTAGATTTATGCCGAGACTGCACTTAGTATTAGTCAAAATCCATGTTAATAAACAGAGACTTAGCAAAGGTTAACCTAGAACGAGGTACTACGGGAGTAATATTTACTCCTAGAAGGTGAATAATATTAATTTGAACCAATATAAAAATAGCAATTTTAGTTTAAATTTACTGGAGCTACACCTTGTTTAATAGTACTGAATGTGTTTTGATTACGTCGAAGGGATACGCAGACAAGTGTAAAATATTAAGCTCATAAAAAATGAATGTCTGATTAATGTAAAGTTGAGCCGGTTGACGATACACTGACGTAACAACGATGCAGCACATAATTCATAATTCGTGTGTTGGTTGAGAGAAAAGGGTCATGCCATAGAATTAAAATGGCTATATAGGACAGTTAGTAAAATTGAAGGTTATATAGTATAGTACATAAATATCATAGGTAATACTTATCTTTAAGACGAAACACTTAAATATAACCCGGGAGTTATGAATTATGAAATACAAATAAGTTGTACCGTGGTCTTAATTTACAACTTAGTGCACATTATTATAGGAACATGTACAGTTCGTGAACTTTTTGCTTTTCCGTTTGAAGGTGAAACTTTTTTTTAACGTTTTTAAGTTGTAAACATTTGCTAGACAGACAGGATTTGTTTATTTATAATTTTAAACAAATGCTTATAATAATAGATTATTCGATAATATTTTAAGTCCGTGCTTGCTACATATCTTCTTATAATGCCATCTGTTGCGGTTTATTGGTATTAATTTTTCTTAATTCGTAACGATATTTTGGAACTTACGTATAAGTCTATCTCTGATGAGTGATGATTTACTCGGACGTCATGAGTCCGGTTGTAATAGGCGAAAATGGCTGGCACCAAACTGAATAATTTTAAAATTAAAAAAATACATCTGCTAAAATCGAAATTTAATAATAACAAGATGTATTATGGATTGGCTAAAAAAAATCCTAATTGCATTCGGGGGACCATTTTGTGGATCATTAATAACCGACTTTCTCAGTTTGACCTGTATGTATATGTGTTTGTGCGCGATTATCTGGCGTTTGGATGAAGCAAAATTTATCAATATCACCAAAAAGCAAGAAATAAAAACTAATAAAAGAAATTGAACCAACTTCGAACTTAAAAAAGTGAAATCATTTAATAAACAACCTACAGAAAATCTCATTTTCTTGAATAAGTCGCTTTTGAATAACGTACCATTTTTCACTTATTTTGTAAGTTTGAAATCGATTCTATTTTTTTATATATATGTATTCATTAGGAACGATGTAAGATTTCTAATAATACCACATTTATAAGTCTTTCAAAAGTTACGATGGAACAAAGAAAGTCGCGTACGTATACCTATTAACCTTAAATAAAATACATCATAACCAAGAGATGTTTAATTAGAAAAATAAAAAAACATAGTAGTGTCATTTATATTAGATCAATTCTGCATGCCATATACATAAGATGTTCTTATGTAAAATGTGAAGTACAATGTAATATGTAAAGGAGCTCTTTTTTGTCAATAAAATTTTAAGCAGTTTGGCTGCTCGGTGGCGTAGAGTATAAGCGACACGGCCCGCGATCGTTGTTGTTAAGCAACTTTCGCAAGGGTCGGTCACGGGATGGGTGACCAAAAATTATTATCTCGAGCTGCTTCGTGCTTCGGAAGGCATGTTAAGCCGTTAGTCCCGGCTGCATTTGCTGTCGTTAATACCCTTCAATCCGCATTGTGTCAGCATGGAGGGTCATGGCCTATCCTCCTTAACCATCCATATGGAAGGCCTGTGACCCTGCGGCGGGAAGGCCTGAGACCCTGCCACGACTGCTCATCTTCATCATCATGATGATGATGGGCAGTCGTGTAAAAAATAGAACAGCAAATAATTCTGATGAAATACTTAAAATATTACAAGAAGTCTATGAATTTAAATATTTGTAGCGGCTTTTTTAATGTCTGATTCGTGCCCCTTGGTTCGCTTGGGCGTTGTTCGTGAAAGATTTTTTAATATGTGTGTTCTGCTGCTGCTGCTGCTCTACTGCTCACGTCATCTTTTCCGCCTCTAGTTCTGTTTTCGGTGTCTCCGTAAAGTAAGGTGAACTTACGTTAAATTATGAAGCTGATTAAGCATAGTTCCCCTGTGTGCCGTAACCATCACAATGAAATATACCGCTGGCGTACCTCATACTAAGTGCGCAGCATCCTCTGAATTATTTACGCTAGCTGTAGATGTCTAGGCAAGAACACTGATTAATTCAATTTTGGTCCACCATTTTGTTGAGACAAAAAGCGGAATGGCCAAAATCTGAATAACATTCCCATTTTTTTTTGTCAGAACGAAATTCCATTCGTCAGACTACATGTACATTTTACGTTTGTGTAAGGAAAAGTTTGAATTCGTGCATACAGTATTATTTATTATGTATATAGGTATGTGAACTGGAACAGTCTTTATAATGATCCTCACAGGATTAATATGTATAATGCCCGGTCAATTTGATTATTTGAATAATAATTATTAAATTGCTCTTTCATATTGGGCATTTTTCATAACGATCGGACATGTATAATGTCAATTTATCACTTGGTCCATAACATACATAAGTTTAGTTTTAGGAGGTACCCTATATATATAATAATAAAATCTTTATTTGCAAAAATATGGTTTTATAAGTTGTTAACAATTTTTAAATACCTAGCATATTTTGTCTTTAGGACGACGTGCAAATATTGAACGACGTGAAAACCTAGGACATTGTATATTTTTTATTACCAATATGCTTGGTCAAATACTAGATTTTATTAAATAGTATCAAATATACATATTATTCAGGATCTTGCTCTGAACTTTAAAACAGGATTAAATACTCTTTGCTCTCAGGATTTGGTTCTAGCATAAAAACCAACGTTTTAATAAAACACCATACAGATACTCTATGCTTTATTCTTTTAATATAAACTTTGCTCTATAACGATACGTAGTATCTTCTTCTTGGTCTGTGTCTATAACTATATCAAAGAGAATGTAATAGTAATATAATTGTTTGAATATTGTTAAAATTATATTTTTGATAGCTTCAATTTGATTATTTAAATTATCATTATGGGTGACACTAAAAATTTGTCCGAAGATAATGGTGCTGATAAATTTAATCTTGGATCAGGGGAAGCCAATCAAGCTACCACTTCAAAGTTATCGGTGAATCCAGAAGAGAACTCCCACAATATGAACGATCTGAAAGCATTGGATTTTAATTCTGCCGATGAAGTCAGGTAAAATATTTCGTCACTAGAATTCTGTGGGTGTAATCTAGGTAAAAATAATCTTTATTAATTTCGGAAACCAACCAACTTTGCAGTTGGTTCATTAATTTATAAACCGATGGCGATGATCATATCCTAGTCATTAGTTTATGTAAGTTAGTGCCGTCTAAGAACGTCTAATGTTCTTTGAAGCATTGATTAAAAAATCATCTGTAATACGTTGCAGTTGTTGGCCTGAATTCGACCTGACTATAATTGTTCATTCCTGTTTTTCAAAGATAATAATTATGACAGATTTGAAATTCATTATTAAATCTCTGTTAAACATTTTATTTTTATAACTTGCAGGCAAACAATGAAAGCTGTATTATCATGCAAAGAACCATATAACACCGCAGAAGAGAATATTTCCCAACGTATTGTAGGTAACGTTGAAAAGAAAGTCAATAATGATAAAAAACCAGTTGAAGTTGAGATTGCAAATAAAGAACAGATAAACAATTTAATTAAAACTGAACCCAAAGAGAACATATGCGTGTTGGTTAATCCTAAAACTGAAATATGGAGTTCTAACGACTGCAATGTGAAGAAAAGACCTGGCAGACCACCAAAAGCAGGAACATCTAAGAAGAAGGTGAAAAAAGCCAGTGTGACAACATTATATTTAGGGAAGTTGTCAAACGTAGTCCCTTTTAAGAGAAGGCGCATATATCGTTCGGAAAGTGAATCGGACGAATCTCTCATTATTTTTTATTGACTTGTGAATAACAGAGTTGTTATGTCGACACTATGTTTAATAAAATTTGTAGTTGTGATATTTTTGACTTGAATTTTGAGGCAACATTGTGCCTCTAACAGATCTTTTTCATAAAATTTAAATAAGATATAAAAACTGCTTTTTAATTGGTACATGTTAAAACACGTTGATGAGATGTGTAGTGTGAATAGAAATGAAGAGATAAGTTACCAATGATTTAATGCTTGGTAGGGTATGTCATGTTTGTTTAAGTATGAACATGATTTGAAGCAGCTAAAAGTTCCTAAAATTTCACTTCAGCAAAGTTGTTTCAACAAGCCTTTGCACTCTACTAACTTTTCATTTTGATCTGCAGTTGTTTATTGGCGAATCTGTATCATATTTCAGCAATCTCTTAGCGGATCGTATCATATCGGAAATTGAATTTCCGATTGGCTCGCGGTGTTCCGTGCTCCAAGACCAGCAACAGTGAATACGGATACAGTGTGTAAAGTGTTGTTATCACCTATTGAAGTAATAACGACAGGTTTTGTTTATTAACTAATTTCAGTTCACTGAATCTCTCGTTAATTTATTGTGTTCAATTCACAAATTTTGTTTTTAATAATATTTCTTCTATTACCTTATTATCAATAACCATATTCCATTACGAATAGTAAGCACTGTTCTACTATCCAAATAAAGTGTCTCTCTGTTTTGCGGTACCCTAAAGAGCATAGGTCACCCAGCACTTAACTATTAATTATATTTTACCCGCAGTGCGACTTATAAATTAAACTAATAATTCTAATCCACAAAAACTATGCATCTCTTCTTAAATTGGAACGAGAGGAATTTTTATACGTTATCTTTGGTTATCTCATCTTTTAAATTTCAATCATACATTCCAATATTATTGAGTCGATCTTAAGGCGAAGCAGGTGGTAAAAAGAGGGATAATAATTCATTTTATATTGAAACATCTTCCATTTATAGCCCCCAAATTTTGCTACGGTTCCTTCAGTGATAGATCCATGATTTAGATTGCTAATAAAAACAAGTAGTGTATCCTTTTTATTTAACGTACGTTTTCCGGATATTTACTGCCGATATCCATTGATTGTGAATTGAATATTACTCCCGTGAATGGTGAAAATGACAGTAAAGGAAGACATGTTCCAATCGGTCGGCTGGCAGTATATTGGAAGAATATCGATGTGGCCGAAGTTCGGACCGTCTGAATTTCTTCGTAGTTTGATTGTAAATGATAATTTTGGTTGAAGATTAAATATGTTAGGTGTTATGACAAATTGTAATTAAAACAGTATCATTTTAAGTGTCCGTTGAAGCCTTATATTTGCTATATGATTGTGGTGTACGTTTTCTTGGTTGTTCTTAAATAAAATAAAGCAAAGTATAGAAATACTGTGAATAAGTTTTGTCAAGTTAACATTTGGAGTTGCAGCACGGCTGACCGCTCGTTAAGTTCAGCCAGACATAAATTGCATGACTGAGATTGGACAGACTAAGATACAACGCAAGCCACTTCTGTCGTTGTCAGATGGGGATACGTTAAGTCATAGTTAGTGTATATTGGATTTTATGATTCAACCTCAAGATTGAATCAATTTAAAATTCAAAGGTGACCTTAGGGCTGGTGCCCTGATTATAGATCTCGCATAGGCCTCAGGCGATAATCTGAGCAGAAAAAAAACATTTGAAACATTATATTATCATGTTATCAATTGAAACAATGATACAACTCAATAAAAAACAAACAATTCAATCAAAGGAATATCTACATTCTTAATTTCAGCATTAGAAATAACTGCTTTCAATTAATATAATAAATATTGCGAAATAGAAAAGGGTCTTGTAAATTCGATGTACTAAATATCGCCAAGCTTGACCTACTACGACCTAAGACCCATTAAATAGATTGTACTTATCTAAGAATATACTGTGGTCCACTTTAATGGATTCCGAATGATCATATGTCACTCAAAGCCCCATATGAGACTAAGGGTGATATTTTATGTTCATTTTTTGATGGATTTCTCCAACTTGTCATTTAATAACCTGTTTTAACCAAAATCAGTAATTTTAATTTAATTATAATCCCAAGAAAAAGACTATCGTTGCCGTAATATGTGAAATTTTCGCCATTGATTTTAAATTCTACCCTCGATGTATAAATGTGTAAAATAAAATGTGAAGTTGAAAATTTTGTATAAGCTGACACAGTCTACTAGACTAATTGGTCGAAACTGACTTTTATTTTCGAGAAGAAATAAATTATAATGTCAACTTTACAGTTCAATAATTTTTTTAATAAAGTTTCTTATATTAACTAGCCTGCTCATTTCGTTTTGAAATATGATGACACATAAGAATTACCTACATTTTTACAATATGGCTATATCACGCATGGGACGTACTCGATTCTCGAGTGGGCAACTCTTAAAGTTCTTTAATTATGAGTTATAGTCCGTGCGGGGCCTGGCGAACTTTGGATTGCATTGCCCTGCCCTGTCGTCAATTGCTCCCAGCTTTAATTACTTGTTCCAGTTTAACTTTTATTTCAGTGTAACGTGCGTGGGGAAAGCAATTGGGATTTTGCAAAGGTTGTTTTTTTTAAATTCACGTAAAGAATTTTAAATACATACTGATTTTGGTTATTTTATTCGTTTCATAACTAGCAAGGTTTGCGAACGATTCGAACATTATCTCTTAATGAAGATTTAATAACCAGGTTTTTCGAATATGTTATTCTGCTAAAATAACGTATTAATGACCTTTCAATGAATTGGATTTTGCCACTGCAGGGGTCGCAAAAATCCGATATTTACATGTCAAAATATTCGATATTCTATATTTATCCGATATATATCATGCATATAAAAACCTTACATTTTTAAACTGCTACTGGCTTCATTTAATAATTAATCCAATCCATTATCAAGCCAATGTTGCCAGCATCACATCAACTTGATTAATGTTGTAGCTGCTGAGAATCAATGTTCAAAATAATAATAAATATAAAAATAACAATTGATATATCCGTTGATATTTATCAGCGAATCTTGGTACAGTGACGTCTTGATAAATCAATTGTGATAGATTATTTTCTTATTTTGCGATATAAAAACAAAAAATGTGTCAACAAAGCTGCTACTGAAATGCCAATAAGACGCTATAATTAGGCTAACATAGCCGAATGAAGCCAAGCAAACTCTTGGGATGAGGGTCGGATTTAAAATAACCGAAACCCAAATGCAAGCGCTCTTAAAAGTATTGATTTTCTTATAAGATCAGGTTGCCGAGGCCTCGTAGTCCGTTCCTTGTACGTTATTGTTTCTAACATCTTTTTTTTATTTAAATTTACTGTTTAGATCCTACATACAGCAACTAAAGCTACTCTGAAAGACTGAAACAATCACCTGAGACAATACAGAAAAGCTCATTTCTTACTCTATTGAATCTAGGATGACAACTAGAAACCGGCGTACGAGCGTGTGAGTCAACCTGCATTTGTATCGTTTTTAGTTCTAGTTTTTCTTAAGCAAATAGCATCTATGAGTGCGGCATTCAGTAATATTAACTACAAATACTTTGTTGTTTTGGTGATGCTACTACCAGTAGCATCACCAGTTAAACAACACTGTTGTGCTACCACGCCATTCGTAACACCACGGCAAGTTTTTTTTACCCGTGGTGAAGCACCATATTTTAAATAAGGCAATACTAACTACAAAGTTAAACAAAATTATCTTTATTGTAAAACGTTAGGCTCCATGTTGTCATATTTATATGCTCGTCGTAGTGCAGCTTCGTCTACTATTAATATATTAATTAATTAATTCATTGCTCAGAGAAGTTTCTAGACTGATTGCGAAGTTGAGCCTCTAGACGGTTAAGTAAATAATGCATGCGCTTCTCTAGGTGCTTGTTAACTGAATTAATTAACAAGAATTAGAAAGAAGCTGTCACATCCTAGTATTAAGTTTGAGGTTTGGACCAAGGGTATATTTAAATTTTGATGTTCTAACCTAATAACCTACATAATTGTTACGTTTGCAAATATTGGATGTATTTTAATTGATTATTTATTGATTATGTGCTCTTAAATGATGCATTGCGTTACACTTGGTCAATAATTTTACAATAATCCTTTGATTAGAAAACTAACATAGATAATTCTCGTATTTTCAATATTCATTGTATCATTCGGTGGTATCCTTAGATAACGGGGAGAACTATTTAAAAGACCCTATTACTATTGTGAAACAAATATCATTATCATCATCATCAGCCATTTTACGTCCCCACTGCAGAGGCTCAGGCCTTCCTTATGGATGGTAAAGGAGGATGGGCCATGACCCTCCACGCTGGCCTAATGCGGATTGTAGGGTATGCTGCCGGGACCAACGGCTTAACGTAACTTCCGAAGCACGGAGTAGCTCGAGATAATAATTTTTTTGGTCACATAAAATTTTTTGGTAAGCTTTGAGAGTAAACAAATATATAACACAGTTTTTTAAGGACATGGAAGTTATTCGAATTCGTTATTCGAAAGTTTTCTTTATTCGTTATGAAGACCTGGTATATTTCTTTGAATGTTCTAAAATTTAACAAAAAAAAATATTTGAAATTATTTTTATGAAAATTCACACCTTAATAGAGGTATTATTAGAAACCCCATCGCATGATGCATTCAACTAGGGAAAAATATGATATAAAAAGGGTATATAGCAAAACCCTTGAATAGAATCTGACATCTTCACCCCTCGACAGTACGGTGACCATAAAACAAGCCATCACCAGAATAATACCTACTCAATACAGCCTTTTTTCGGGATATGAAAAATTGTTTACTGCGACAGCGACACGCGACGGGTTTCGTAGTAAAAACCCTAATTTCCTGCACCCTTTCATTTATACTGGCAATCTGGAGGTCTGCAGCTTATTTATAGCGGTCCGGGCATTTGATGGGTGGGAGTCAGAATCCGTAATGATAAAGCTTGTAAAAAATTGCGTAGACTTGCGACTGAAAAGGGTGTTTTGCGTCATAATTACGTTGATCAATGTCGCACTGAGTAGATACCTAGGCAAGATTAGAGGGAGTGGTTGTCAGATTTTGAGTGAAGAAGGTTTCAACACAAATAAAAGGTTATAAAGTAATTAAGACTTGCAAATTTTCTGTAATAAGCTATTGAAAGTTTAACCTAACATCTATACAATTCGATACTCGTTGCACATAATTATATTAAAATAATGAGCGTGTGCAAAACCATTCCAGCAAAGAGATCTTTAATGGAAAGGTCACAGTAATAGGAGTTGGGAGAAAAAAAAAATGGCTCATAGTTAAGGAAATAATTTAATAAAGATAATAAAAATATAAACAAACCAAAATAGGCAGCTAACTTGCAAGACAGCAAAGCACCAAGAAAAAAAGGAAACAATATGTTAACAAAAAAAAAATTATATAAAAAT